CTTCACGCCACGTCGTAGGATCAGTCGTATGACGCTGATAACGCTTGTGTTTCAGCCACTCTCGTTATTGAGGAGGTTGTAACTTCCCGCGGGGAGCTTGAGGAGGGGCAGGTTTTTTGCGGCGAATCGGAGGTGCGTTCGTTGGTGGGTGATGGGGATTGCCCTCGGTGGGGAGGAGGGAGTATGGTTATGTCCGATAGCTACGACAACGAACTTACCATGTCTGTGGCACAGGGCGATAACAACGACAACAACAACAACAACAACAACAACAACAACAACAACAACAACAACAACAACAACAACAACAACAACGACGATGACGACGACAACAACAACAACAACAACAACAACAACAACAACAACAACAGTGATTGCAACGGGATTATTGACGACGAGCTTACCTTGTGTGTGGCGTGGGGTGGGAAAAACAACAGTAATAATGATACTGTGTGCAGCGGGGGAACGGGAGGACAGACTTTCAACTGCTGCGCGCCACAAAACGATGACGATCTCAAATATAATGATGACAACAATGATCTTGCCGGCGACAATACGGTTGGGGTTCACAGCGATTGTGGCAACAGTTTTCACGATGACAATACAACCGGCGATAAAAAGAGCAAGAAAGATACTTACAGTGACAGTCATGGAATAACAAGTGAGAATGGGCGGTCTCCTTCCCCCTTTTCCCGCCCTCCCCTGGTCTTTTTTTGTAGATGTTTTGAGAGGTGGGAGCGGGGGTGTGGGCGAGTAGGATGGGTATTTGGAAGGTTTGGTGAACAAGGTGACTTTGCGGGAACAGTGGAAGTTGGATGGTGGCGCGAAGGGGTGGGTTAGTGACGCTAGGATAATCGGGTCGCATCTGAGGGTAGCATGTGCATGATTGCTTCCAGCGTGCTCTTCCAGGATAACGTGGTGATTGCTCGCGTTTGGCTTTTCGATCTGTTATGTGCTAATTTCGCCATGTGGCAGGGCGGATGGCGCAGTGAGGAATGAGCATCGGGAATAGGCATCAAGGTGGCCTATGCGTCTCGTTGGGTTCTGCCACGTGGTTGTCTCGCTAGGAATTCTTTCCCCCTTTCATGAAGAATTCACATGTGTTTTGCCTTCTCTGATGACCCCTCCTTTTGCTTCATAGAGCTCTTTAGGGTAGGCATAGATCTTGCGTTTCAAAAAGGTGGGTGTATCAATTGGTCTTTTACTTTCCCTACTGTTGATTGCCTCTCCTCCTCAAGGCACGCTAAGGATTTACAGGGTAAGATGACGAGGAACTCAGAGTAGGGGTATGATTTTTGATATAATTCGGGATTACGATGGGCAGTTAATCCCCTCAGTGGAGGGCAATCAATGCTGCTCATCGGTCACTTGCCATGCATGCGTGTCGCTTTTGATGACCGTTCACATGACTGACACGTGGCAGGCCTACATGAATTTGAAATGTTTCTATAACATCCATTTTACATGTCGAGGGACGCTGGACCCGTTTTCCAGCAGGTGCTGCTCCCCACCAATAGATGGAGCCTCCCCGAGCATGATAGTGGTGTCTGCTCTTATCAGCACCTCTAGCATTTACTCGGGTTGTTTCTTTAAAAAAAAAAAAAAAAAAAAAAAAAAAAAAAAAAAAAAAAAGGAGAGGGCGGTGCTATCTGAAGGGCCCTGGACGAAGCACTGGGTCACGGTCACCATGCCAACCCACCGGGTGTAGAGCACGCATGCTTTGCTGCTTTGTCCTTTGTCTGCTCGCTGCGCTGTAGAGGGGTTCTGAGGGGCAGGCCAGCCCTATGGGAAAGACGAGACCGGGCGTCTATAAATAAGCACCGACGGGGTACCTTCCAATGGCTGTGATTGTCGTTCTGTTTGCGACGTTAAATAATTCCTGAGGACTTTGGCGGCCGTCCATAGAAACGCCTCCTGATCAGCCAATTGGTCGGTGTAAGGCTCACTGCACGCGAGGATAAAGACTGTGCAAGGCTGGCCACCTCAGCGGGACTCGGGGCATAGGGGTGGGCCGTGTGCACACCTTTAGACACGCACGCTGTCCGGATTGCTCAGGGACGCTGCCGACAAGACACATTCAAGAAGAACTGAGGGAGGGGTAGATTCCAGGTGATAAGTTTGGGCAAGATTCCACTCTGCAAACAGACCCAACAAATGATTCTATTTTTATTTTGATTAGTTAGATGTACAGCCATTAACATCTGACAGACTGCATAGTTAGAACTGTTTTCTGTTTATTGAGCTTTCTGTTTGCGAACTAGTCAAAGTCAAAGTAGTATCGTTTGAAGGAATCCGAACTTACCTGTTCAACCCGAATGGATAGTCTCTGACCTAGCCACCGATTAATTAGTTTAAATCGGTTTGTGCATGGCGCGGCGGTAGGCATCAAATTAGTGTCCTAGTGCAGACGGTGTGCAGTACTGTAGCTTATGAGCGACACGGAGGTCCCACAACCGGACGATAGGCTCCTGCGATTGGCAAGATGCCCGATAGCCCACTTGGCCTTAGGACCAGAAGGCGACATGTTACTGTTCAGTCAGCTTAGGGAGAGGCAGCAGCAGCAGCAGAGAGCTAGGCCAGCAGAGGCCAGCAGAGCAGTCGCAAGGGAAGTGGTTAACGGGTGAGGTGAAAAATGGGGGGTCGGTGGGAAGTGGTTAACGGGGACCCCCACTTTTCGGCCCTGGGTAACGATGAATGATCCTGAAATTAGGGTTTCGGGGTCAAATTTTGTGTTTTTTTGGATTTTTTTTTTTTGCCTGTTTTTTCCAATTTGGTGTCATTTGGGTTATTAGAATTTGTGTTGTTAATCATCCTGAAAATCTTGAAATTTTGATGAAGTTGTTTTTTGGCAAAATTGCCTGAAAATGCACTTTTGAGTTGCTGTTTTATGTGTTTTTAATTATTTGTTTTTGGTATTTTTTTATAATATGTTAGTAAGAAGTGCACTCTATAGATTGGTGTGAAGTCTGTTTGGGATGGCCTTATGGTTTTCTTATAAATTGAGGTGAAAAATGGGGGCTCGGTTAACCTTTTCTCTCATGATGATGTGAGGACTCCATGGAATGTCCTGCTAGATGTAGTAGAAATGCAGGACCACCATACGGCTCTCATTCAGGACATCCAACAGAGTTTGGCCGTGCTGGTCGGGCGAGTTCAAGTAGCACCATCACCGTCCAGGCCTAGTGCCTGGCCCGTTGTACAACCTCCTCCTTATGTCCCACTGGTGACTGGGGTATCCCCATACATAGCTCCAGCATCGGTACAGGCCGCTTCCCTAGGAATGCCTTTGTCAGGAGGGTTCTCAACAGGTCCTAGTGTACAGATTCCTGTACAAACATTGTTTTCCCAACCTCCTTCGCAGGTTGCCGTAAGTGGGCAGTCTGCTGTCTCGCAGTCTGCACAGCCGCAGGGCACACAACCCCAACAGCAGCTAGTGCAGCAGCCTGCACCACAGGGTCCACAGCCCGGAATGGTACAGGTACCGGAACAAAGTCAGTGGGTACCAAAGACGGCCATCGCTGCTCCTAAACCCTTCACAAGGGATAAGAGGGGCGAAGACCTCGACACATGGTTGAGGTCAGTGCCAGTCTACGTCAAGTGAAAACTTACCTTGCCGCATGAGGAAGTGCTTGTGGCTGCCTCCTATCTAGAGGGGAGTGCAGCAAGATGGTTGAGTGGTTTAGTGCAGTTGCAGGGATACGGTCATGACTTCCGCGCTTGGGCGGTCACCCAGAAACTGGATGACTTCCTCAAGTTGGTGGAAGACAGGTGGCATGATCTTCAGGAGGCCCAAAAGGCCACTGATGCGATCCTGACTCTGCATACTAGGCAGTTTAAGTCAGTAAGGGAGGCCACAGACGCATTAGAGCATCTGATCTGTGTCCCTGGGGTGCACTATGACCCCCAGGTTTTACTCACCTCCTACCTGAGATGCTTTCCTATGCCTCTCAGGAATCAGTTGGCAGGTGAGGCCAACATCAATACGCACAACTTTCCCTTGTTTAGCAAGAAGGCCCTAGACCTTGAAGCAAAGATAGGGCATGGTCAGACGCCCACGACGGATGGTAGGAAAAAGACACTGCCTCCCAATTGGAAAGCGAAGGGACACATAATGTTTGTCGACAACGATGGATCTACCATCGAGTTGGATGGCGAGTTTCAGGCGGGAGTGGGTGCAGAGACAAGCAGCGTAGAAGCTTCAGGGGGTGGAGTAGTCGCTGCCGTAGCTAAAAGAAGTAAGGCGACCGGAAGACGTCGAGGAGGTTCCAGGTCTAGGAGTCAAGTAGACCCCAGTGGTCCTCCATGGGAGAAAGCGGGTCTCAGTGAGGACGTGTGGAGAGATCGGTACACGCGGCAGACTTGTATCCGTTGTGGCCAATACGACCATAACCAGTTCAAGTGCCGAAACAAGAAGGTGGCCAAAAAGATCCCGCCTACGATGGGGCAGGCGTTGGGATCCTCCACTCCCGTTGGTAGCAATGTGGCCAGCAGTTCTGGCACCGCTCCGGGAAACACGTCGGGCTAGTAGGAATGGTAGTTGTTCCTGCTAGGGTCGAGGTGTTGGACACACCCTCACCATCTCGAGAGATGACCCAAGCTACTGACTCCATCGTCGTCCCGCAAACACATTCAGACCCATCGAGCCTTTGTTCGATGAATGTGTTCGAGTCCTTAGAGGAGCTAGAGGAGGAGTGGTTTAAGATCAGACCCACTAGCTTCTTGAACGACATTGGCAAAAGCCCCTAAGGGTGAGATGTTCGTCAGCGAGGTAGTCATCGGCGGCCGCAAGGCCGGGGCCTATTATGACACTTGCTCGACACGAAACTTCATTAGTTGCACGTGCGTTGAGAGGCTGCGCTTACAGGGGCAAGTGCAGCGCCCGAGTCGACCTGTGCCAACAAACAGCGCATGGTAGTCAACGACTACCTTCAGGACATTGAATGTCTTTTCCCGTACGCGGGAGGGGAACTGAGACATCACGTCTCGTTCCTAGTGAGCGATGATCTCCCTATGGATATCTTGTTAGGTATGTACTACCTCTCCGTTGCACAGCCCCAGTTTGACTGGGACCGAGAAGTGGTCAAACACACTTTGCCAGGTGGGGGGACCGCCAGTTTACGTAAGTTCAAAGCTAGTAGTCTGATTGAGTTCTACGGATGCATGTGTGCGGCCACGTTCTATAACTATTATAAGCAAAATCCGGAGGAGGGTATGTATCTAGTTTATGTCTCTGCAGTAGGTGAGCCGGTGAAAATGTCGTCGGAGATAGAGGGAGTAGTTGCTAAGTACCATGATCTATTTGAAGAGCCGACAGAGGTTGTCGAGAGGGAGGTCGTCCACGCGATAGAGATTATCCCAGGGTCTAGCATCCCGAAGGGTAGGATCTATCAGATGTTTCCAGGCAAGCTTGACGAGCTTCGCCGACAGCTCAAGGAACTCATAGAGAAGGGATGGATCTGGCCGAGTGTCTCCCCTTACGGATCGCCAGTTTTATTTGTGCCAAAGAAGGGGGGTACGCTGAGGATGTGCATTGACTATAGGAGCCTCAATGCCACCACTGTCAAGAACCGAGAGCCCCTACTGCGCATCGACGATTTGCTAGATAGAGTGCAAGGGTGTCGGTACTTCAGTAAGATAGATCTGAAGTCCGGGTACCATCGGATTGCAATCCGGCCCGAGGATCAACACAAAACCGCATTTCAGACCAAGTACGGTCTGTACGAGTTTGTGGTGATGCCTTTCGGCCTTTGCAATGCTCCTGACACCTTTCAGCACGCTATGAATCGGATATTTCATGACTACTTGGATAAGTTTGTCATCGTGTACCTCGATGATATACTTATTTTTAGTAGGACTGTCGAGGAGCATGTTGCGCACTTAGACAAAGTCCTCAGTCTCCTTCGGCAGCACAAGTTCAAGATCAACGGGGAGAAATGCGAGTTTGGTCGCACCCGGATCTTGTACTTGGGTCATGAGATTTCCGCGGAGGGTTTGAAGCCCGATGACGCGAAGGTAGCCAGCATTCGTGATTGGCCGCGTCCTCAGTCTGTGACTAAGATGAGGGCTTTCTTAGGGATGACCGGCTACTACCATAACTTTGTTAAGAACTATAGCATAGTGGCCGCTCCTTTGACTGACCTGACCCGCCTTGACACGCCATGGGAGTGGGCAGACAGGTGTGAGGCTGCTTTTAGACATCCGAAGCATGTGTTGACACACCATGAGGTCTTGAAGCTTCCCAATCCTGACAAGCCGTTTATAGTCACTACGGATGCTAGCCAATATGGTATAGGCGCCGTGCTCGAGCAGCAGGAGGGGCCAAAGTTGAGGCCAGTCAAGTACATGTCCAAAAAGATGCCCTCTCAGAAGTTGGCTAAGTCCACCTATGAGAAGGAACTCTATGCGATCTACAAGGCGCTCACCCACTGGAGGCACTAGCTCCTTGGGAGGTTCTTCTACGTCTGGACTGATCATCAGACCCTAAAGTGGATGAGGACCCAGCCTGTGCTCTCCGATGCGCTGAAACGTTGGATCGAAGTCATTGAGCAACTATGACTTCGAGCCCCAGTACATCAAAGGTGAGTACAACAAGGTTGCTGATGCGTTGTCGCGTAGGCCAGACTTCTCAAGTGCGCTGATCACTGAGTTCGGGCTCGCGGACGATGTCACTCGCTTTATGGTGGAAGCCTATCGTGAGGATCAGTTCATGGTTGAGATCATACGCAGACTTGAGGCGAAGGACAAGGTGTCTTCAACTGAGTTTGAGTTGGTCAACTGACTGTTGTTCCTTGAGAAGGAAGGGAATAAACGTATGTGTGTGCCGGATAAAGAGTCTTTGCATAGTTTATTTTTAGGCGAGTGTCATGATGCCACCGACCATTTTGGCTACAAAAAGACAACAGCTAATCTGCTGCAGCGGTTCTGGTGGCCCACGATGATGAGATACGCCAAGCTGTACGTGGAAACTTGTCAGGTCTGTCAGAGGGACAAGCCACGTACACAGGCCCCTCTTGGGCTTCTAAAGCCCCTTCCGATTCCGTAAAGGCCTGGTGAGAGCGTGTCCGTGGATTTCATGGATACGCTGGTCACCAGCAAGAGTGGAATGTGCTACGTCTATGTCATTGTGGATAGGTTTAGTAAGTACGCTAGGTAGCCGCAATGCCTGCAACAACTAAAATTGAGTATGTGATCAAGCTGTTCAAGGAAAACTGGGTCAGAGATTTTGGACTTCCTAAGTCTATAGTTAGTGACCGAGATGTGCGATTCAACAGTGAATTGTGGAAAACTGCAGCTGCAGCTGCAGAACAGGGCACGCAGTTGCAAATTACATCAGGCAATCACCCAGAGGCGAATGGTCGGGCAGAGCAGTTGAACCGCGCTGTACAAGACCTGCTGAGACATTACATCAAGCCAAATCAGGTAGACTGGGATGGGAAACTTGCTCTCATCGCCAGCTTGTACCACAACGTTGTGCACAGCGCTACGGGAGTGAGCCCGAACAGCTTGCTACTGACTTTCAAGCCTAGACTGCCTTTGAACTTCCTCCTACCCGAGAATCGGCCATCTGCTGCACCAAGGACCTTAGAGTTTGCTTATCGTTATGAGCGCCTGATGCAGCAGGCTGTTGAGCAGATGCATAAAGCACAGGCGGCGATGATAGAGTCAGAGAACAAACACCGCCGTCCATCTACATTCCAGGTAGGAGAAAGAGTCTGGGTTAAGTCCTCAGAACTGGGACAGGAGCACGGGATCTCCCTCAAGCTCATGCCACAATACTTTGGACCATGGTAGGTTCTAGATGTCATTGGGGATGAACCGGATGACCCTTCTTATGTTATTCGCATCCCTGGTCACTTACGCACTTACCCTGTTTTCCACACATCCAAGCTTGCACCTTTCGGGGAAACAGATCAGTTTCCCTCTCGTCGTTCAATGCTGCCCCCAACCATGGATGGAGAGGTCAACATCGAGGACATCGTCGACCACAAGGAAATCACAGTTCCAAGACCGATAGGCAGGGAGGAACTGATGCAGACCGCTCCTCAGGTTGTGGCTCAATATGAAAAGTCTCTGCAGAAGGGAAAGCCCAAATTATTGAAGACTGAACTTCCCAGAGGACTAGCGAAGTATGGAGGAGGGAATGCGAGGCACAAGGCCTCGATACGCCTTATTGGGCCCTATTATCAGCACAGTAGGCCGCCCTAAGTGAAGGCAGGCTTGACCGAGGCCTACAGGCCAATTTTTGGGGTCACCACGCAACTGGGGAAATTCAGGCAGTTGCGCAGCGCCAGTTGGTTGAGAGCGCCCAGGCCCAAGCTGCCTCTTTCCAATGTAACTGAGGCAGGCCCTGGGCTAGATTCGTAACATGGACCGAACACAGGCAGCGGGCAGTTGGATACGGCCAACCACCACAGGCCCAAGGCCTGATTTGTTTGGACTGGGGCTCAGCCCCTCTGGGCCTACCGGAAGCTTCTGGGCAGGGGCCCAGCACAGCCAAGCTGCATGCAAGCAGGCACGCCACTTCCATTTAGGAAAGTGCCTGCCCACGCATTTGGCATTCAGGCACTGGCTGCATTGAGCGCAAGCGCTGGTGCGCTATCGCTGGCCAGCACTCACGCGCTCACGGGCGAGCTGGAAGGAGCAGGCAGCCATAGCCGAGCTGCGCTGCTGTATGCTGTATGGGGCACATGGTGGTCCTTGGGTGCATGAGGCATTTGTGTGTTGGGGAACGAGGTTGTGAGTGATATGAGAGGCATACCTGGTGCTTGAAGCGTACGGCATTGTCCGAGATCTTCTCGTACTTCACGAAGCTGTTGATGTCATCGCCGGCATTGTAGATTGGGCTAGATAGGATCTGCCATCTATAGTCTGGGCGCCGAGTGCCACATAGGATATCGACATTGGTTCTTCGTTGATGATGATGAGACTATTCCAGCATTGTCAATTATCAGCTTTTGCTGTACTCTTATTTGGTGAAACTCGTGATGCAATTCAGCTATTGGTTCGAGGTCACGACTATCTGGTCTTATGTGTATGATGCTGTTTGATTTCTGAAGTTCGCTATCGCTCATCTTCCTTGCATCTGGATTTTTTCCAAGCATTTTCTTTATACCTGGGTGAGCACCTTTAAGAAGTGCTAAACGGTTGATGGTCGATGTTTGGAGTGCCTACAGGACTCTTATGAAACGGTTTTCACCTTTATGGCAGCAGATGCAGATCCCAGGGCTCAGTCCCTAGATCTAACCCCAACCCGTGTACAGTATTAGTTGCCCTGTGTGTGTTTGAGCCCGCGACCTGTCCCGAAAAATCGCCTGTCTGGGCGTTGTAGGTAGTGTGGTCAGCGGGTCTTGAACAATAGATCTGTAAGTTAGAAGTCTTAGCAGTGGTAGAGGTTGTAGCTGCTACAGTACCGAATGGTCAAGGTCGTAGCTGCTACTGTACCAAAGGGTAAAGTCCACAGCCTTTCAGAAAGTCCGAAAATGACCCTTTGTGCAGTCCTAGGCTAAGGTCTGTAGGCAAGTGGGCAAGTGGTTAGTCCGACCTCACCTAGTCAGCGGTACCCAGTCCCAGTCGCACTTTGTCCAGTCAGCAAACTGTGTGCACCCTGGGCCTGGTGGAAAGGAGCAGACCAGCAACCATCCGAAGTATAAATCAAGAGGCAGCGTCCAGTCATTCATTCATTCTGCCTGTGAGCCGTGCGGAAGCGCTGCCTGAGCGTCTTGTGCAAGGTGGGTCGGCAGGTGCCCGAAGGAGAAGTGGGCTGCGAGGGAGACGAAGCGACCATAGCCGCTAGTAGCTAGGAGGTAGAAGGCAGCCATAGCTGTTGTAGGTTAGTGATAGGCTGTAGCGTGTATGAGTGAGAGTGTTTGTGTGAAGTGTGTGTGTGGGGGGGGCATCCAGGGAGATCCAGAGTAGCGGGAGTGTGAACGATTGCTCGGGATACAGTGTTGGCTGGTTGTTATGTGGGCGTACAGGCGCCATAGCTATCGAAAGCAAGTTTGAATCTGAACTGTGTTCTTGGCCTCGATATGGGCGCCTGGCGCTAGTGTGATTGCCATCTATTTTCATGCATGCTGAGTAAGGAAGAGGACGAGTCTGGTTGCAATTGGTGTCGGAGCTGGTTCCCGCTGTCCGACATCGCCATCGTCGTCATTCACGAGAGGTAGGAGAGGCACCAGCTGAGCGCCACGTCAGCATCTGCGCCATAGCGCAAGGAGGAGAGGCGCCAGCTGGGCGCCACATCAGCATCTGCACCATAGCACAAGGAGGAGAGGCGCCAGGTGGGTGCCAGGTCAGCGTCCACCATAGAGGAAGGAGCCGCCATAGCTGCGCCGCTACAGAAGGACGCCACACACCTGCAAAGACAACGAGAGAGAGAGAGAGAGAGAGAGAGAGAGAGAGAGAGAGAGAGAGAGAGAGAGAGAGAGAGAGAGAGAGGAG